ATCCAACACCCATTTCTGATAAAAACGCTCAGCAATGTGGGAATAGAGGGATCATATCTCAAAATAATAAAGGCCATATATGAAAAACCTACAGCCAACATCATACTCAATGGAAAAAAAAACTAAAAGCATTCCCCTTAAGAACAGGAACAAGACAGGGATGCCCACTTTCACCACTCTCATTTAACATAGTACTGGAAATCTTAGCCACAGCGATTAAACATGAAGAAAAAATAAAGGGGATCCAAATTGGAAAGGAGGAAGTGAAACTGTCATTATTTGCAGATGACATAATATTGTACATAGAAAACCCTAAAGACTCCATCAAAAATCTACTAGACTTAATAAATGAATTTGGCAAAGTAGCAGGATACAAAATTAACATCAAGAAATCGATGGCATTCTTATACACCAATGATTAAGTCACAGAAAGAGAAACTAAGAAAACAATTCCGTTTACTATCATGAGAAAAAATTAAGATACCTAGGAATAAAATTAACCAAAGAAATAAAGGACCTATTCGCAGAACACTACAGATCATTGAAAAAAGAAATAGAGGAAGATATAAAAAAGTAGAAGCACATACCCTGTTCATGGATTGGAAGAATTAACATCATTAAAATGTCCATACTACCCAAAGCAATCTATAGATTCAATGCAATCCCCATCAAAATACCAATGACATACTTCACAGAATTAGAACAAATACTTCAAAAGTTCATATGGAACAAAAAAAGATCTCGAATAGCCACAGCAATCTTGAAAAAGAAGAACAAAGTTGGAGGGATCACATTACCAGATTTCAGGTTATACTACAAAGCCACTGTAATCAAAACAGCCTCGTACTGGTACAAGAACAGGCATATAGACCAGTGGAACAGAACAGAGAACCCAGAAATGGACCCAAGGCAATATGCTCAATTAATATTTGACAAAGGTGGCAAGAGCATACAGTGGAGTAAGGACAGCCTCTTTAATAAATGGTGTTGGGAAAATTGGACAGCTACATGCAAAAAAAATGAAACTAGACCATCAACTTACACCCTACACAAGAATAAACTCAAAATGGATAAAAGACTTAAGTGTGACTCATGAACCCATAAAAATCCTAGAAGAAACTGTAGGCAACAAAATTTCAGACATCATACGCAGCAGAATTTTCACTGATACATCACCTAAGCCAATAGAAACAAAGGAGAAAATGAACACATGGGACTACATCAAACTCAAAAGCTTCTGCACAGTGAAAGATATAATCATCAAAACAGAAAGGCAACACACTGTATGGGAGAGCATCATTGCCAATGATATATCAGGTAAGGGGTTAATTTCCAATATATATAGAGTGCTCATAAAACTCAAAAAAAGGAAGACAAAGAACCCAATTTAAAAAAGGGCAGAGGAACTAAATAGACACCTCTCCAAATAGGACATAGAAATGGCTAAAAGACATATGAAGAAATGCTCGACATCACTTATCATCAGAGAGATGCAAATGAAAACAACAATGAGGTATCACCTCACACTTGTCAGAATGGCCTCCATCAACAAATCATCAAACAAGTGTTGGTGAGGGTGTAAAGAAAAGGGGACTCTAGTGTACTGCTTGTGGGAATGCAGACTGGTGCATCCACTGTGGAAAACGTTATGGTGTTACCTCAAAAAGTTATAAATTGAACTTCCATTTGACCCAGTTACCCCACTATTAGGAATATACCCTGAGAAACCTGAAACACCAATCAGAAAGAATATATGTACCCCTATGTTCATAGCAACCCTATTTACAATAGCTAAGATCTGGAAACAACCCAAGTGTCCATCAGTAGATGAGCGGGTTAAAAAGCTGTGGTACATGTACACAATGGAATACTATGCAGCTGTAAGCAAGAGAGATCTCTTATCCTACATGGCATGGAAGGACCTGGAGAGTATTATGCTCAGCGGAACAAGCCAAGCAGAGAAAGACAAATATCACATGATCTCACTTATTTGTGGAATATAATGACCTAAACAAACTGCTGAACAAAATTAACCCAGAGACACAGAGGTAGGGTACAGACTGACAAGCCTTGGGGGGAGAGGGTGTTTGTGGGGGAAGAGATAAACCACAGAACTTACATGCATGTATGCATGACCAATGAACATAGACAACAAAGCTGGTGATAGGGCATGGGGGAAGGGGAGGAGGGTGTCAATGGGGGAAAAATGAGAAACATCTGTAACAAAAACAAATTAATAAATAAGTAAAAAAAAAAAAAGAACAAGATGCCCTGGCCGGTTTGGCTCAGCGGTTAGAGCATACACCTGTGGTCCAGAGAGGCCCGGGTTCGGTTCCCGCTAAGGGCATGTACCTCGGTTGCGGTTTGTCCCCGGCCCTAGTTGGTCGTGCGGGTGGCAGCCACTCGATGTGTCCCTTTCACATCGATGTTTCCCTCTCTCTCTCTTCCTCTCTCTCCCTCCCACTCTGTCTGTACAAAAAATGGAAAAATGTCCTCGGATGAGGATTAAAAAAAGAACAAAAAAATGTATGCCTGCCATTTTTTATCTTCTATTTCTGAAATTCGTATTACCTGTACTTTGGCATACTTGGTGATGTTCTGTAGATCTCTGAGGTGTTGCTCATTTTTCTTTCTTTCTTTTTTTAACATATACTTTTTATTGTTGACAGTATTACAGATGTCCTCCATTTCCCCTCCCTCTATACCCTCCTCCACCCAGCCCCTGCCCCACCCCAGGCCTTCACCACCCTATTGTCTGTGTCCATTGGCTATGCATGTATGTACATAAATTCTTTGGTTAATCTCTTCTCATCCCCACCCCCTCCTCTCTGAGATCTGTCAGTCTGTTACATGTATCAATGCCTCTGGATTTATTTTGTTTGTCAGTTTATTTTGTTCATTTTTCTTCATTCAGTTTTTTTCATTACTGGAAGTGGTTCATTTCAATGATCATATCTTCAAGTTTATTGATTTTTTTTCTTCTGCCTGTTAAAATTTGCTCTTGTACTTTTTTCTCCCTACTAGTAATTTTTTTCTTTCCATTTTTGTGCTTTTCAACTCCAGTATTTCTAGATGGTTCCTGTTTGGTAATTTCGGTCTCTTTATTGATATTCTCTATTTGGTTTGAATTGTTCTGATTCTCTTAGTTCTTTATACATAGTTCCCTTTAGTTTTTTAAACATATTTAAAATAATTTTTAAAATACATTTTCCTAGCACATCCAATATCTGTATTTCCTCAGGGACAGTTTCTATTCATTTTATTTACCTGTTGACGATCTATACTTTCTAGTTTTTTTTGCATATCTCTATTTTGTTTGAAAACTGGACTTTCTACATAATATAATGTGGCAACCCTGAAGATCTGATATTTTTCTCTCTCTTACCAGGGCTTGTTGTTGACACTACTTTTGTACTAGTTGTTGTTTTATTTGTTTCGTGACTTTTCTGAACTTTTTAAAAAAATTTGTTGTTCTTTATTGATTTTAGAGAGACAAGAATGGAGAGGGAAAGAGAGAAACATTGATGAGAGAGAATATTGATTGGCTGCCTCCTGGTTGCCCCCCACTGGGGATTGGGCCCACAACCTGGGCATGTGCCGTGACCGGAAATTAAACCGGCGACCTTTTTGTGCATGGGTAAATGCTCAACCACTGAGCCATACCAGCCAGGCTTATTTTTTATAGTATTCTATATTCTTCATCATGAGTGGTCAGTAAAGTCTTTACTGGGTTACCCTAATGGTCAGCTGATTATTGAATATAGATTTCCTTAAATACTTAGAACCAAGAAATCTCCAGATCTTCACTGAATATCTCTATAACCTGTTAAAATGCCTTAAACACTCACCTAGGAAGTGTATAACTGTCCCATAGCCTTCGTTTCCTGTTTTTCAGATCCTCAAGGCTAGCCAGAGTAAAAACTTATGGCCTTCACATGTCTTTCCTGTGTATGTACACAGTTCTATGCGTGTGTGTGGCCTTCCAGATTCCTAGAAAAGAGTCAGAGCTTTGCAAAGTCCCTATGGACATCTCATTTCTCAATTTTTCCTTTTAGTTTTTTTTTTTTTTTGGTTAGGCTCTTGTTTCTGTGAACTGTTTTTCACTGCCTTAAGCAGCTGTGTGACAAATTCTTCTGCTCCCTGGGGAGAGTTTTAGCAGTGAATGACCAATAAAGACAAGCCTTTTGAATTACGTCTTTCAGGAAAGTGCCACACAAGTCAAATAATGACAATTGTTTGGAAATTAAATCTGTTCTGTTTACTCCAGCACCTGGAATTGGGTTTAATTTCAAGGCTACTGCTGGACTGTTGAGAGGTAATAGGGCTAGCGTAAGTTAAAATACCATGAAAGGTGCAAGTTCTTAACAAAAGTGTGTGTTTTTCTTCCATAAATGCTCCGTGGGTTGATGCAAACCTTTGGCTAATTTCTCAAATTTTAAAAAAGAAGTTGATTATAAAAATCTTGCCTGTTATTTTATTTCTTTTGTGAATAGGTGAATATCCAGAAGTCATGACTCCACCATTTCTACTGACATCACCCACAGCCACCTTCTTCATGATATGGCCTAAATCTCCCTCAAGAGAATGAACAGCAAAAGATTAGTTGAAAGTTAGGAAAAACAAAATATGTTTTTCCCATTCAAATTGAAAAGACCCTATGGACTCTGGCTATACTTTTTTTTTTTTTTTTTGTATGTGCCCCTAGCGGGAACCAAACCTGGGACTCTCTGGTCCGCAAGCCAACGCTCCAACCGCTGAGCCAAACCGGCCAGGGCTAGCTATACATTTCTTGTATGTCAATGAAGCCTGGGTTAATAATGGTACCTTAGAAGGATTTTAAATATAAACAGATAACAGCTTTCTACCATCATGAGAGAAGTGTTGAGACAGGGCCAAGTATATACCTTACTGGCCTTTACTTACTTCCCAGTTTTTCTAGGTCTTTCAGCTGTCCACTCAAGGGTGCCAGGAACCTTAACTGAGCTCTTTTTTTTTTGCAGACTCCTCAAAGCCAAACAAAACCAACACTGAGGCACCAACAACTATGCAATCTCCTTTGGAAAGTAAGTTTACTAAGGTTCTTTTGCATTGATAGAGGTCTGAAATGGTGTCATGGAAGCCAAAGAAGAAGGCCTAATGCCATTAGATGGGCATATAAGAGGTCACTGGGTTTCTCAGAGAGAACATGGTAATAGTGTAATGGAAATAAAAGATAGCAAGGATTTAAAGATTACAAAGAAGTGGTACCATGAAAATATATATATATATATATGAAAACTTCTGAAGCAAAAGAAAGAGATAGAATAATCCCACAGGAAAAGAGAAAACTTGAAGACTTCTGTTCTGCTCCTAATCTCACTTGCTGTGGGACTTTGGATAAGTTGCCTCCCCTCTTTGGGCCTTCTTCCGACTACCAACAGTAATAAACTAAAGTACTTCACCTCATAGTACTAGTCATCATTGATATGGCCAGGAATTCTGGAAAACTCAGCACAGATGTCCAGAGAAGGATCCCAAACCTTACAGTTGCTCTCTATATCCCAGCTCCTGGCTGGAATAAGGCCCTCTGATCCTAATACCCTGTTGTCATAGCAACACCCCAGTGAACTCATCCTGGGACTGAAACACTGAATTAAATCGTTACCTTGAGGAGCCCTGGCCGGTTTGGCTCAGTGGTTAAAGCGTCAGCCTGCGGTCCAGAGAGACCCAAGTTCAGTTCCCCCTAAGGACACGTACCTCAATTGAGTTTGACCCTCAATTGAGTTTGACCCCGGCTCCGGTTGGTTGTGTGGGAGGCAGCCACTCAATGTGTCCCTTTCATGTCAATGTTTCTCTTTCTCTCTCTGTTCCTCTGTCTCCCTCCCACTCTATCTGAACAAAAAATGTCCTTGGGTGAGGATAAAAAAAAATCGTTGCCTTGGGGAGACCAGTGCTGGGCCAGATAAGAGCAATGTCACAACTTCTATCCTTTCTTTTTGGCTCTAAACTTTGTAACTGATACTTTTTACAATATACATTGTTCTGTGGCATTCCACTCTGCAACTACTGCTGTGGTCCAGACAATAATCAAAGATGCTGGAGATGAGGAGGGTAGTGGGATGGAGAGGGAGAAATATATAGAGAGGGATGAGAAAAATCAGCATGGGGTTAAAGAAAGTGGTAGATGTGTTCTTAGCTGGTTCTTTGTTGCCATGCTTCAAAAACATTATAAGCAAGAATAGAAATGTCTCCATGACCACCTTAGCCAGGTCTCCTAAAGAGATGGGAATTGAGACAGGTAGGGGTAATGGCAGGGCCTCACTACCTGAATTCTTCACCAGGATTTACCAAGTACCTTGCAACTGACTTCTGATTCATCCAACATTTCAAGCATCCTTAAGTCATGGTCTCAGAGGTCCAAATCCCAATGAGAAGCTTCTTTGTGTTTCACTTGGAGCTGATAATAAGCTGGTATGCACTAATATGACTTAATTGATTGTTAAAATAATAAAATTTTTTTATACTAGTTGATAATTTAATGCTTCCCTTAATGCTGAGCTCCCCATTATCACCTGGGCTGCCCTGGTCTATTTCTCAGAACTCTTCAGACCACCCCATGGTCCTTCAGCAAAAATGATGGTGCCTAGTATTACAGGAGACCTCTAAGACTCCGGTTCTATAGTAGGCATCAGTTTTGATTGATTGGTGCTAAATAGTTTGATGACTATTACTCCTGATCTCATCCTCTGGTTGCCTGTATTTAATGGTGGACTTGTTAATGCTCCTATACTTCTCCACCCCTGGTTGCAGAGCTTCTTGGATGTCTCTGGACATAGCCCAAACCTGTTTGGTATGCCACCTTTGCATTACCACCTTTAGCTTGAAGGCTTTCATAACTCCATGCCTTTCCCAGGGAAACATCCAATGGGAAAAGGGAGATTAGAAGATACCTCTTGGAAAGTTGGTTTGGGGAAATGAGACAATAACTCTAAGAAGAATAAGAATTCTTAGCTGTTGAGTCTGGGCATTCCATCCTCTATCAAGTTTTTCACTACTTAACTCCCTCTAAGGGGGAATCTTCCTTTTATATGTATCAGTTTATAGCTTGGGGTCTCTCACCTCCAACCAGAGCCATGAGGACAACAAATACCAGATTTCTAAGACAGAATATTTTGGGGTCTTATAAAAACAGTCTGACACAGTTGGCTAAAATCAAGGTGTCAACAGGGCCGTGTTCTTTCTGGAGACTTTGGGGTAGAATCAGTTTCTTTGCTCTCTCCAGCTTCTAAAGGCTATCCATATTCCTTGGCTCTTGGTCCCCTCACACCATTTTCAAAAACAGCAATGTTGCATCTTTATTTATTTATTTTTTATTAATTTATTTTTGTTACAGATGTTTCTCCTTTTTCCTGCAGACACCCTCCTCCCTATCCCACCCCCACCAAGAATTGTTGTCTATGCCCATTGGTTATGCATTTGTGCATATAAGTTCTTTGATTTATCTCATCCTACCCCCCACCCCTCTTCTCTGAGGTTTACCAGTCTGAACCATACTCTTTTCTGTGTCTCTGGGTCTGTTTTGTTCATCATCTTCTTCTGTTCATTATATTCCATAAATAAGTGAGATCATGTGGTATTTGTCTTTTTCTGCTTGGCTTCTTTCACTTAGGATAATACTTTCCAGGTCCCTCCATGTAGTCGCAAAGGATAAGAGACCTTTCCTTTTTACAGCTGCATAGTACTCCATTGTGTATATGTACCACTGCTTTTTTATCCATTCGTCTACTGATGGACACTTGGGCTGTTTCCAGATCTTAGCTATTGTAAACAGTGCTGCTATGAACATGGGGGTACATATATTTTTTTTCTGATTGGTATTTCAGGCTTCTTAGGGTATATTCCTAGAAGTGGGATCACTGGGTCAAATGACAGTTCAATTTTTAATTTTTTGAGAAAACACCATATTGTTTTCCATAACGTTGCATCTTTAAATCTCTCTGACTTTTACTTCCCCTTCTCTATCCTTCTTTCAGTTTTACCAAACCCTTGTGATTACATTGGGCCCATCCAGATAACTCAAGATAATATTTCCATCTTTATGGCAACTAATTAGCAACTTTAAATTAATCTGCATCCTTAACTCCTCTTTACAATATAAACTAACATACGGATTCTGGGAATTTAGATGTGAACATCTTTGGAGGACTAATATTCTGCCCCCCACAACAATACAACAAGTAAATAACAGATCCAGGACTGGAAGCCCAGTCTAGTTTTTTCCTTCAGCTTGTAGACATCATTGGAATAGGTAACCAGGGGACTCAGTGACAATATGTTTTTTAGGAAAAAGAAACTTGAGTACTTGGCCAGAGACTGTGAAGGAAATAATTTTGTGGTTAGAAGTAATTAACAAGAATCTCAATAAGTATTTTTATGAAGCTGGTAAGTCAGGGTACTACTTTCTCCTCTTTTAGAGAAGGTGAAAACCTCTTGTCTTGGCCCCATGGAAAGCATCGAGGACTAGTTAAATACTCAAGCCTATCAGCCATCAACCAGTGGGTTTGGAAGAACTTGCCAATACATTGGGTCTCTAGCCTTTCTGAAGTCTTTGTCATGGGCCTGGGATTTTGTCTCTCTGACCAGCTAAGGAATCTAGGAGAAGATGGAAAATGGAAAAGAAAGAGGTGTGGGCTAGTCTGGGCTGATCATTTGGGTCTCTGTTTCTGGACAAATTTTTAACCAGATATTACTTGGTCTTATTTTGCCTTGTAGGAAAGGGCCTGCCTATCTTTGCAGTCATTATCATCAGTTTCCTTTGCTGTATGGTGGTCTTCATCACGGCTTATGTCATACTCTGCAGGAAGACATCACAACAAGGTAAGTGATGAGTATGACTGCGTGACTTTTGGTCATTCATTGATTTTGGCAGTATAGTTGAGCATAAACTCTATATCTGGCTGTGTGTTAGGTACCTCAAAGAGTTCCCAGCTTAGTTTGGGAGTGAGGCTAGGGGTAAATAAAGTCAGACATGCAAGCCAACAATAATAATACAACTTATGAAAATCAATTTACAAAACTTTGGTACCCAGACTAGTACAGCCATCTCTGTAATGGGTTGTGTGATGAGGACACAAGAGAAGGCGAAGTCACAATCTTTGGTCTCAACTTGCTTACCATTTATTTAGGGGATTTAATATAGAAGCATAGAGTTTATCAAAACAATGAATAGCAATAAAGGCTATGGACTCAAAGCCTGGAGTTCAATACAATAAATCCTAGAGGAATCCAGAGAGGAAGAGAATCAGTTAGGGCTAGAGTAATTAGCAAGGACTTTCAGAAGAAGGTGGGACTATGACCAGGCCTTGGAGAATGTAAACAATTTGGAAAGGGGTAGTATTCCAGGAAGGAGAAATTATATGAATAAAGATCTAAAGGTTTAAAAGATAACTGTTAGTGGGGTTATCAATAAAGAAAATTCATGTAGCTGAGCAATGAGAAAATATAGGGAAAAGGGAAAGTTAATTTCCGATACAGGTCTTGAATGACAGATTAAAAAATTTGGACTTTCTTCTCTAGGCCTTGCAAAGGCACTAAAAGACACCAATTTTTTTTTTAAAGCAAAGGAGTGACATGATGAAGGTGCAGTTGTCAGGGGAATTTTACAACTGTAAGCCAACAGAGGAAGAAAAAGAGAATTTAGATGTTAATTCCTTTTTTATTTATTTTTTATTTAATAATTTGTTTTTGTTACAGATGTTTCTCATTTTCCCCCCATTAACACCCTCCTCTCCTCCCCCCCCAATCCCCAGCTTTGTTGTCTGTGTTCATTGGTCATTCATACATGCATGTAAGTTCTGTGGTTTATCTCTTCCCCCCCAAACCCACCTCCTCTGAAGTTTGTCAGTCTGTATCCCACCCTAGTTGCCTAATGGATAAGGTATTGCCCCCCTAGATGTTAATTTCTAAGTAAAATCTAGCTACACCTTAATACTTGCTACACTAGCTGTTTTACCTATCAATTGTGTGTCTATTTCACTGTAGCAGCTCCAACTCCCAAACAACCTGGTTTGCACATGGTTCTCTCCAATCAAAGAAGAGAAGGGTATCTCCTTTTTCTCATCTTAAGTATCAGCTTTGGTCCTGGCCAGTTAGCATGGCTATTAATCATGAAACCAAACTTGGAAGTAGAGATACCTCAAGTGGCCAAAAATCCCAGAAGTACCTAAAGTAAAACATTCATCATAGTCTCAATGAGACTGGTTATAAACTGTAACAATATCAGATTGTTTACCTCCCAGAAATCTTCCCAGTCTCCTCCTGGCCCAGGGAATAGAGGTCAAAATGTAGCATTTCATTAAAGGCCCTCTATAACATGGCTCTAACTTATCTTCTCTACTGCCACTACTTCTTTAGACCAAGTTTCATTTCCAGTTACTGAGATCAAACAGGCAAATAGGCGGTACACTTTACACCTTAATACTTTATCCCTTCCTGGATTGCATTCCCAGAATTCTTGATTTTTACCTCTCTATAAGGAAGACAATTTGGGGGCATCGATTTGATTCAACATGCAGTTAGTTTCCATTGCTTATCGTTGCCTAACATGTGCCAGGCACTAGACATATAAAAATGTAATAGACATAACTCCTGAAGTATGGAAGCTATCAGGCCAATGGAGGAGGTAAGATGGAAATACAAGGCTCTATCACAAGACAGAATACCTACTGCAGCACGCCACTTTTAATTTGTTATGATGTTATGCCTGCATTCCTAGTTGCATCCCTGAAAGATTATAAGCCCCTAGAAGACAGTACCAAGAGACATTCATCTTTGTACCAGGATATTGAGCCTTTAAACCTATGTGGAATATAGATGTTTCTCCTAGGGGGTCTATTTCATGATCCTTCTTGTGTGCAAGGTCGGGATGAGTTCATTTGGGAATGGCTTAGGCCATGGTTCCTGACACATCAGATTATTTCAGCCCCTGCTGTCTAGGCTTTGGCCTGGCTGCCAAGTTTCCCACAAGAACTCTCTGGGGATCTTCAGCAAGATTCCTGGGTAGGAAGTGGATTCAGTTCCAGTGTCCCTCTCTTCATCACACTAAGCAACTGCTACAGCTCAATGCCAAAGAGGACAGTTACCAACTGTGCTTCCTCTTCCTTTCCCTGAGAAATCTACATCCTCGTGTTTCAACTCACCTTCCTAATACTGCTCAGTTTTTTGGAAAGCTGAAATTATTGCAATTCCCTTCTATGTCTCCTCTTCCTTTATGTTTTGACTGATATTCAAGGTCCATGCTTGGCCCTTGTCCACTCCCCATGGAGACTTCTGACCTGATTTCTCCTTCTTTTCTAGATCACATCTATGAAGTGGCCAGGTAAGACCGCCTCTTTTCTTCTATCTTCTAACTCTTTCCCTGCCCTCAATTCTGTAGGTTACTGGCATGGAGGAAATGGGGTTTGGCACAATCATAATCCTAAGCTCCAAGTTCTTCAGGGTCAGGGCACAAATTTCTTCCCTTTTTGAAGCACCTCCTGATATTCTATTGTGGCCCACCAAACACACAGGATAATTCAGGTCCACCAGTCCTCTGTTCCCAGAGGGTGATAGTCTGAGGGTCAGTTGACAAGGATTGGGACAGAAGGGTGGGAAATCAGTGTCCCAACCTCAAGTCCCTTCTTAATGGGTGGTGGGCTCTTGGGCCACAGGTTGCATCCCAGTGAGGCCAAAAACTCTGGTGAAACCATGAGGGTGGCCATCTTCAAAAGCGGCTGCTCCAGCAAAGAACCAGCTACCCGGACTCTAGGCAATGACTCCTCTGATGAACCCTGCCTGGACCAGCAGTACCAGATCATCACCCAGATAAATGGTGACTACACTCGACTGCTACACACAGTTCCCCTAGATTATGAGCTCCTGACCATCAAGGGCAAGAGTGTCTGTTAAAACTGCCCTACTAGTTTGATGACATAATTGCCTTTTAGTTCCTGCTTTCTGCATGCCCCCTTTCTCTTCCTGGATAGCCCAAAATGTCTTACCTGCCAACATTGGGATCCCTAAGTGTGAGTGGCTTTGCCTAAGAAGTTGTCATGTGCACACAAGTAAGCCTGCTTCTGAGTTTGGGCCCCAGGTCCTTCTAGTATCCCTGCCTGGGGCTTCTGCTACTTCTCTCCAAGCACCAGAGGGAAGTTCCCATAGCATTAAGATACCAATTAACTTTGACCTCTTGTCACCATAAGACCAGAGGGAGGCTCAACTCTGCCAGCTCAAGGGATCAATTGTGTCCAGTGCCAGATTGTTCTTAATTGAGGTTGTCATATAAGAGTCCAGGATTCAGTTCTGCTCTTACACCGTGAGCCTAGTACTCTCATACTCTTTTGGTGCTCAATAAATATCTAACTGTAATAGCAACCTTGATTGGTGTTCTCTCAAGTACCTACTGAGAGTTATTAAAGTGAGACTAGAGATGATTGGAACCCTGGGAGTATAAATAGCACTTTTGTGTTTTTTACCCACCCACCCCCATACCACCCTTACCTCACTTCAAAGGTGGGTCTAGCTAGAATACAATAAATTTTTGGTAAAATACTACTTAAGTGCCTTCCATTATTCCCTTCTAGCTCCACCTGGATGATTCTTCCGAAGTCAATTTAAAACCAATGAGCTCTTATCCTGTCTCAGAAGACTGTGAATGCAGAGATAAAGGGTTCTTCTTCTTTCCAAAGTATGAATGTACCACCCTCAAGGAGTTTCACCTTTGGAATATTAAAAATTTTGGAATACTTGTATTCTTCATAGGTCATCCCTATCTCCTGGTCCCTTCTTACAATGTCTTACAATGTGGAGTGGGGTTCAGAGAAAAGAAGTCTTTCTCCTCAAACAGGAGTAGAGAATAAGAGAAAGAGAGAGGAGAGAGAGAGTGCATGTGTGTGTACATGTGTGCACATGCATATACCTTTAAATCAGTCTCTTCTGTGGGGACCTGTTCTGGGACAGGCCAACACTGCTTTCCCTCCCTCATATAATTCATATTAAATCAATTTGTCCCTTCTTCAAAGAAGCTGACATGTTGCCATTTTTGTTTCCAATGCAACCTCAAGGTCAGCTCAGATTTCACCAGGAGCTACTCTCCTTTGGGATGAGTGCAGAAGTAAAAATATCACACACAAGTGAACAAGGAGGAGTCCTCCACTTCATCACTACTAACCTGCCAAGTCCATGGTAAAAACCTCAGCATTTTCCTCATCCCCGATGCCAGCTTTACATAGCTTGCGAAAGGAGCAAGTTTTTCTTCCCCATCATGCTTGCAGTTCTCTAAAACAGGGTCCCCACCCAGTGGAAACCTCAGCTTCCTTCATGAAACAGCTCTGTGTCCAGACCCCACAGCATTTGAAAACATTCATTATTTATTCCTACGACCTTTAGAGAAAGAAATTACTGAAGTTGAGAAGAGAATCCTAGTTGCGCGTCCCTTGTTAAAAGGACCCCCAAATCAGGGACTACCCCCTCCATAGAAGCTATGGACACCCAGGAATATTTGAGTCTCTTGTCTTGGAGAGCTTAGAGATTGTTGATTCTAACTTTCCCATGATACAAATAAGGAAATGGAGCTCCCCCAAAAAGAGTGACTTGTCTTAAATCGAACACATCAAGTAAATGGTAAAACAGAGTCTGGATTCAGATCTGTGAACTGCTAGGAGAATATATTCATTGCAACAGAGAGACTTCTAGAGATCAGCTGTGTTCCCAAACTGATCTTTTGTTTTTTCATACATGACAAGCCAGTAAAAGAGTCCTAGGTATAGAGCTACCCCAAAACTTCAGGATAAGAATAAACAAAAATGGGGTGATAACACAGGACCTGTATTAGGTAGGTGGCTGGTCGGGGGAAACGTAGAGGAGTAAAAAGAGAAGATCTCCAGAAGAGAGGGAAAGTATGAAGTTCCTCTAGGGCAGTTTTTCAAATTTTGTTCCATGGAATAGTAGATCCAAGAGATGGCCCACAGGAAAAATATCACAATCAAATAGGTATGGGAAATGTTTCATTCAATAGCTCTTGGAGATTTCTAATGCAACATTAGAATATTAAAGGCTCTATAATATCCTGCAATAAAGCACCTGTATAACTTTGTATTACCAAGTAATTCCAAAACACATTTGCCCTCTGAACCTACTTTTTTTTTTTTTTTTTTTTTTTTTTTGGATCCCCTCTTGTAGCCTTTGATCCAATTTATCAGGAAGAAAACCCATTTATGTTGGCTATATTTTGCATGCCTTATAGCATTGTAGTGACCATAATTTAATTTTTTTCTTCATAAAAGGTCTGGGTGGTATGTGTCCCAAAGGCTAACAAATAGTGAACTAGTAGAAAGTGAATCAGTCAGTAAACATTTATTGAGTGTTTTCTGTAATCACAACCCTGTGGGGTAGGGATGAAATAAAGAGACAGCAATCAAGGAAACACAATCTTGTTCTCTAGAAGTACACAACCTAGTGGGAAATTTAAAAAAAATATCTTCCAGAAAAGTTCACTAACAATTCAAGCAATGTCATTGGGCAGTAGGAGATAAAAAGGTACATACAAGGACCCAGGCAAGAAGTGATTTGAGAATGAAGAAAGAAAAGTCTAGGTTGACTTTCAAAAGTCCCTGGAGAGACTAAACTTTGCCTGGGCCAGGAAATATGGGAAGAAATTGAATAGGCAAGAAGAAATGGAGATGGTGTTCTCACAAGGAGAAAAAGCATGAGGAAAAGAAGAGAGATAGGTAAGGTCAAAGTGTGTTTACAGCCAAGGCTGAGTGTCAGAAAAATGGGTTTCTAAACCCTGCCATGATGGTTGTGTGAGACTTCTGGTGTCCTTGCTGGGAGACTCTGGAAGGGGAAAATGAAGGGGGAAAAAAGTAATGAATCAGGTAGCATTTCATCCCTGGGCCCTGGATACCTTTTCAAGACTATTGTGCCCCCCTCAGGCTCCTACAATATATGTACATAACCCAGGGCTGTGGCTTCCAGGGCTATCTGACTTTTCCACTAATAACCTCAGATACAATGCTTACATTATCTCACAGTTACCTAAAATAACTTGTGAGAGCTTAGTTGGTATTTGCCATGTGTTCTTTTTTCCAGTTGATAGTGTTTGTTGTATCCCAACTGCCCTGGCCTGGAGCTGCTAGGCATGTGCCGCACTTGGGGTATTTGACAAACTGACACTCTACCACATGGAGTGTCCAACTCAGCTTGTCAAATACACGGAGCGTGGCACTGCAGGAGGCCGGGCCAGGGGCTTCAATGGGGAGGCAAGATCTTCTTGGGAGATGTGGTCCTAGAGAGAAAGAGAGAAAAGAGTCATACCCTGAACCTCAGGGAAACTGCACAGGCTGTAGGGAGTAGCCAAAGCACCAGAATAAGGGAAGTGAACAAAATAGGCATAAGGCTCCTAATCAAAAGAGGAATCCTGAGGTTAGGTAGGGAACTCTGAGTTGAGACTGCAGGTGAGGCCCCCATGCTCAGCGGGGGATTCCTCAAGCCTCAGTCTTGGGCATTTTTAGGGGTCTCAAGCTTTAGTGGGATCCTCCATGTAGCATCGAGAGAATAATTTGGTCATCATCCTGCCTCCCTAACCTCAGGAAGGGGCTAGGCTCCAGAGTCAGTGTCAGTGCCCCGCTTCCCTTCCCAACCCTCCCAGATAATAGTCTAGAGTGTTATGGATGTGAAACTTAAGCATTGAGGCTAAACATGACTTTAAGTCCTGGCTCTGCCATTAATAAGCTGGAAAATCTTAGATAAATCATTTCATCTCTCTGAACCTCAGTTTTCTACATTCCCCAAGTGGGTATAAGTATAGTATGTACCTAATAAGTTATAGTGAGAATGAAATGAGATAATGTACATAAAATTCTCAGTTCGTTATTTGATACACAAGAAATACTCAAAAACAATGGCAGTTGTGCTGCCAGAAGAAAAGCAAGAGCCAGTGACAATTGATTTAACAGGGTCAGGACAAATGAAACAAATTTCTGATAGCCTCAACCTTACCTAACCATGTTTCCTTGTATCATCAGGACTCAAGAACTGCAACTATAAAACAACTAGCATCTAGTTTCACCTACTCATGTTATAAATGATTAAATGAAGGCTCATTTTGGAGAAGAAAGTTGCTAAAGGTCATACACGTTGTTCACAGTTTGGAGTTGTGCCATATATCAACCCATTGTGCCTTCCAGCTTTCCTCATCACTCCTCTTACCTCCTTCTGTACTTATCTCTCTGGGAAAAGAGAAACATATCAACAAGGAAGGCAAAAGACAGGCAGTAGTCTTGGCAGTGAGGCGCTGGAATCCTTCAACCCACAGCCATCAGGGAAACAAGGAAGCTGCCAGAAGCATTGTCAGGCCTGGACCTTCCGGGAGAATTCCCTTGGCAACACCCAGATCCTGTTGTTAAATATTCCAGGATGTCTGTGTCAAATTCACCCCCTTCCTAGCAGTGGCAGTTTATCTGTTAGAAAGTAGTTGACCTATATTAAATACTGACATGAAAAATGTCACAATAGAAAACTGTCCCATGAGGCCAGAAGGCCGTCTCAGCGAAAACAAGGCAGAATACTTGTCTTTTTTTTAAGTTTTTTTTTTATATTAACTGTTTTAATTTAATGTATGTTGGTAAGAGGGTGGCATGCCCCTCTAATTTAAGATATTGTAGTGACTTCAAACCTAAAGATTTAAAATGTATTTCTCATTCCTTCATTTTCCTCTCTACATATCTAGTCCATCCCAAGCCACCCAGAAGTGTGTCTTTTTCAGCCAAAGCAACAATCATTGTCAACCAATATGACAGAGTAGAAAGATCAGACAATCTTGGAACCTAATGCTGCTTTGGGTGCCAACTAGCCAATTATGGCATTGAGAAAGTCTTTCTTTGACCCTCGGTTTTCTTCTCTGGCAATGGGGACAAGAAGTCTTACCTGGCAGAGTTGTTATAAAAGTGTTCAATGAACATGCCAGGGCCTCCCAAAAGTAGTCCACTGGTACTTTAGCTCAGTCCTTGGAGCTGTGAATGGAGGGCAACCAAATAAGCTGATTAATAAAATTTGAATTCAGGGTGTCAGGGGAGAGACAACTGGTGATTTAATCTATCACCACCCTCATTGGCTACAGCCTCAGTGAGAAGACTTGGATAAACTGGAGGCATCCACAGCTTCCTGAACATCTTTTCTGACTTCATCAAAAAGGAAAAAAAGATATAAGGGAGCTAAAGATTCCTTCTTAGTACACCAGAAGTTGAAGAGCTTTATAAACCATATTGACCCAGTATTAATGTAAGTGGTTGGTGGCTGAGCTGAAAGTAGTGTTATTTCCACTCTTGATGTTCTAGTCCATGCCCCTCCAATAGGGTGTATATAAGAAAAGCAGGTTTAGTTGAGAAAGGCTGACCAGACCCATAGGGAAAGGAGGTGGATATCTACATGAAGCAATATTGAGGGATTCTGAAAGCTCTTCTCTATCTGTCATGCTACATAAAATATCATCTGTCCACTGCTCTATTCTGGAAGGGCTAACACACCAAGCAGCAGGACCTACCTACAACTGACTCAGTTGGGCCTTCCCATACTAGGGGCAATCTGAATTTTTTTCAGACATGGTTCAGCGCCCTGTTCAGCCCCACCCAGAGATATTTACTCAGCATCATTTTCATGCCCTTTCTCAACAGAGAGCTGACAACCATCCTTCCCCTCTGAACTCAAAGTGAGTCATAGAATGAAGAAAGGACTTGCTCAAAGCTACACAGTGGATAAATGCCAAAACCAGGACTGTTACTCAAATACCTTGACTCCTGACTTCAGAGAGCATTCCACTTCCATGTGTCTATCTCCTAAACAGCATATTTTGGGAGGAAATATCATTTTCCCTTCTCATTATTTTAAGCTCCAGGATAAAAGACTAATAGGAACCTTCTTCTACCCCACCCTTAACCCAAGATCCCTGAGAAGGGTTCAAGGAGATTGAGATGGGCAGGTCCAAGCCACTTTTGGTAGCCATGGACACTATTCTAGCTTGGGAATCCAAGCAGAGAGGACAAATGAATACTATACCTGTTACTGGAGTGGTGCCTTGGTCTCAGAGGAGTCACAGGTTCCCTGGTGATGAGCCAACCTGCAGGGCCAGAGGGAACTGGGCTTTATGCCGTGAGCTGGAACATCGTGTGTTTTGAAGGGCCCTTGGTGTCTTCAAGAGGAAACAGAAATGAGGAAGATAAGGCTGAGGTTAGCCAACGGAAATCTGGGTGCAAAATGACAAAACAGTGCTGTTGTGAAAGGGTCCACTAGTGCAGCAACAATCCCCACTGCCATGCATCCGCCCACTCCCAGACAACCTCTAACAGATACTGGCTCGCTGAGCTGCAGAGTCAGAACAAAAAGCCCCTGACAACCTTAGCTCTGCCTATGGGCCAAGGAGGTTCCCCAGAGCTACTGAGGGAATCCTAAAATATCAGAGCTGAGGTATTATCAAATGAAAATCCCCAATACCAAATTGAGAAATTGAGCCTCTGAGAGATGAAAGAAAATGTCTGATAGCAAAAAGAGAATTAGTGGCATAGCTGGAATTTGAATTCATTTCTATCAACTTCAAATTATGTGTTTTCTCACTCTGTAAGAATGCCTTCCAAACCTGAAATAGTCTTTTTACTTCCCCGTCACAGCTACATAATTTCCAAGTTCCAGTCCAAAATGACAATGAGAGGCTCCTTGTAAAAAAATAAGAAGAAGAAGAAGAATTACAAGATGGCAACAGTAGAACATTAAGCCAAGTGTGGGGTCTTTCTAAGCATGGGCCCTATGAAAGTTTACAGCTCACATACTTATAAAACTGGCTCTACTGGCACAGGTCTGACCACAGGTCACATTCAAGCATCCAAGAGCCTTACAAAAGGAAATAAAGGAGGAAATGTATGTATGTTAAATAACTTTGCATATGCTTTACATGCATTATCTCATTTAATCAACAATCCTATAGTATGGTATTTTTATTATCCTTATTTATAGGTGAGGAAGCTGAGGCACATGGAAGTATAAAGGGCCTTCCTTAAGGACAAAAAATTTGAAAATAATGAAGAAATGACGATCCACACGCAGGTCTTTCTGACTCCAAATGTTTGACTTTTTCAACTCTCTCACATTGGCTACAAGGAGAGGGGAGAAAAGTAGTTGACCTTGAGAAGAAAGAGGTGGTGCCAAACCCTTAATTGTGACCTTCAGACTTTATATGAGACATGAAATATATGAGAAGAAAGTAAATGGCTTCCTAGCATCTTGGGTTTGCAATCTTTAGGCAGTCCCCATTCAAGGTCAGGGAAATGCTTGATTCCCATTATGCAGTGCTCTACATCATGAATCCGGAGGACATGGCAGATGGGAAAGACGATTACTGCAATGCTGTCAGGGTATACTTGGGATCACCTTCAATGATGGCCGTGCCCAAGTCCCAGTCCTTAGTCTATATAGCAAAAGTAAGATCCAGGGAGGTACTCAATTCCCAGTGAATACTCTATCCAAACTACATACAATCTTATAAATCCAGGTTCAAGAGAAAAGACCATATCCCAGGAACCAGCAGTTCTGTACCTTAGCTCCAGATCTGCTAACTATGTTCCCTCCCTTAGCCATGATTTTCAATTTAACCACCAGAAGTTGAACTAGATGGTCTTGGTGGCCTCTTCAACTCAAACATCCCCTGGTTTCTTTATAAACCCCTCTATCTCTGCCACCCCTCACAGTGTGCTTTCTTGTGAGGGACTAAAGGCTCTAAGAACAGCCTGGGATAGAGATTCACTTGCATTCACACTACTTGAAAGAAAACTTCCTTCTTCCAAAATAATGTAGTGGCTTAGTCCTCGTGACCTGTTTCCCCAGATCTTGCATCTAGAAAGATTCAGTTCCTTTTTCTTTTTGGTTTCTGACTAAAGCTTGGGGTGGGGGCAGGATTGCCCTGTGGGCACTTTCTTAAGGAAGGACTCCCCCCTTCTTCCTACTCACAACATAGTGATTAAGTTCATCTACAAGCTTTTTCTTATTTTCTCACCTATAAATTAAGGTACTCTACTGTTTTTGTTGTTGATGTTTTGTTTTTAAACAGGAGCCTTCTGGGGACATTGTCTTCACCTCGAGTAGTAATTAAAAGTGATCACTTTGGACATCACAGCAGGTCCATAAAAGAGAGCATTAGGAGCCAGGAGGACCTGGAAATCATGCCACCTATGCAGAAGACCTGAATTAGTGCAAAGGGCATTGGGTTCCTCAGAGTTCTTCTTTACCTTACAAACACAAAACATGCTAGAAAGGGCCAATAGCACAAAGGGTTTTCCTTTAGGTCTACTGTCCATGCAAAAGACACAGAATCCTCCCTTTTTGGATGTTCTCTGAGTTGGCTATGCTTATAAAGGGGGATGAGGGAGATAAGAGTTGAATGGGGGCTCAGTCAGGCAGTGTTGAGATCCCACACTGTAGACTCTTTCCTTTATTAACTCATTGCTGGAATAAAAAGAACACTGAATTTTGAGTCAGAGTTCCTGTGTCTTAGAACCTAGGTTATACACCCTGGCTTTTAGACCCAGCTCTGTAACTTACTAAATTCCCTTTAAAAATCATACACAGCCTGCCCAGCCAGTATGGCTAAATGGTTGAGCATTGACCCATGGACTAAGAGGTCACCAGTTCAATTCCCAGTCAGGGCATATGCCAGGGTTGCAGGCTCGATCTCCAGTAGAGGGTGTGCAGGCGGCAGCCAATCAATGTGTCTCTCTCATCGGTATTTCTATCTCTATCTCCCTTCCTCTCTCTAAAACTCAATGAAAACATATATTTTTTTAAAAAAATTCATGCACAGCCTGTCCGAGCCTCAGCTATCACATCATATTGAGGGATTCTTGGGCTGGAGGGGAGAGGGATACAGGCACACACCCAAGGAACTATGTATTTCTACAGTGTGAGAGAAGTTATTTGACACAGGTATGAAGTACTATAAAAAATGTGGGTAAGAAAGGTGTGACTCTTCCAGGGCAGAGGGTGAAAAGGTGGGGATGTCTAGAAAAGTTCTTAGGGAAGTGGATTTTAGCTAGATCTTAAAAAATGGAGAAAGAAAACAACAATGTTCGGTATCTCTGGAAAACCTTCTCTGACCACCCCTCTCTCAGCAAAATTAGTTGCTCCCTGCTTTGCCCACCTCTAGTCTTAAAAACCTGTCCATTCTGCAGACTTTTGTGTTTGTCTCCCAAAAGAGACCAAGAACTTCCCAAAGTAGTAACTGTGTCTGATCCCTTCCTTTTTTCACAGGGCCAGGAAAAAATAGTTGCCCCAGACTGAGTTGAATAAACGGATGTGTCAGTGAATAAGCAAATGAAGGAGAACTCCTTAGCCCAAGGTTCCCATATTCCTTAGCTTACCTAACCTCCCTGAAGGAACTCAGAAGGTCCCCCCTTCAACTCTGAGTTCATCTCCCTGCTCATCCACCCCCACCTCCTATCGGAAGTCTGTAAAGAAAAGGCCCCAGGGACAATTGCAAAGCTGAGACCACTTCCTGTGCAAGAGCCTGGTGTCCACATACTCCACCTCAACCCTGGTTATTGCTGTGCACATGATTGCACTGGAGTTTCCTCTGAAAGGAAACTCAAAGCCTAATGCAATGTATAGGGCACCCCCAGGCCAGAGCTGAAGAACTCCACGTACATCTGGGCCTGGGGATAGAGAGTTCACTATGAGGTTCCCCACAAACCCAGTGATATGGACAAGGTACTTGGCAGCAATTAACCTACCAAGTACAGCTCAACTTCATTCAACAAGAGTGTTTTGAGCACTTACTGGCTACAAAGTTTTAGGCTTGGTACCAATGGAAAAAATAAAATTACAACAGAGCGGTAATATACATGTAATAGAAATGTGAAATGTGAGCCACAAATTTTCCAATAGCCACATTAAAATTTTGAAAAACAAATAAGTGAAAGTAATTTTGATGATATATTTTATTTAACACAATGCATCTAAAATGTTATCTTAACCTGTTAGCAATGTAACCATTTTTAATGAGATATTTTACATGTTTTGAAATGTGGTGTGTATTTTATGCTTACAGTATATTGAATTTTGGACTAGCCATGTTTCCAACGTTCAGTTGCCACATGTAGCTAGTAGCTACCACATTGGACAACATAGGCATAAGATGTTACCCTTGCCCTGGCTGCAGGCTCGGGTGGAGCATCATCCCATACACCAAAAGCTTGTGGGTTTAATTCCTGGTCACAGTATATACCTAGGTTGTGGGTTCATTTGTAGGTCAGGACACATACAGGAGGCAACTGATTGATGTTTCTCTCTCACATTGATGTTTCTCTCTCTTTCTCTCCCTGTCTAAAATCTTTCTCTGTCTAAAATCAATAAAAAAAAAAAAAAAGATGTCCTTGGGTGAGGATCAATAATAATAATAATAAAAGGTGTGAACCCTACCCTCAAAGAATTCACAGCCTAGTCCAGGAGCCAGACTAGTACATCAGTATGTACAAGAAACAAGTAATATAGTGGAGCTGCATGCATAGAAAAGAGCACTGTATCACAAGTCAGGAGACCTGGGCTTCAGTCTTTTCTCTGCCACTAATTCTCTGTGTGACCTCCAGTAAATCCCTTTCTCTATATGGGACTCCATATTTCCATCTCCACAGTGAGGCTGAACTATATTTATTCACTCAACAAATACATTTTAAATACTTTCTAAGTATTAGGCATGGTAGGAGACACTCAGGATACCGAGATGAACAAGACACATAAAATGCCTGCCTTCTTGACACTTACAGTGTGATGGAAAATAGGTACTAAATAATTCAAGTAAATATGACAAAAAACGAGAAAGCACAGAGACCTGGGAGAACACATAAGGGAACCTAATCCACCAGGCCTGAATATGGGCAAGAAAACCTCTCAGAGGAAGTAACATTTGAAGTGAGACTGAGGAATGAGTGAACCAAGTAGATAATTGGTGAAAAGCCATTCCAGGCAGAAAAACAAAAAAGAAACAAACAAACAACAACAACAACCAAAAAAATGGTAGGTGTACAGGCGCCAGGAAGATAAAGAGGTTAATGTGGCCTATAATAGAGTGAGCAAGGGAAAAGCAAGGTAGGAGAGGTAAACAGGGGGTCCTAACTGAGGAAGGCCTAGTATACTAAATTGAGAGTTTGAAACTTATTCAATGAGATATGAGAAGCCAGAGAAAGTATAATGATGCTATGCACTTTCATATCGAAGCCAAATAATTTTGTAGTCTGGGCCATGGAAAGAAA